CTCTCTAAGACCGTTACGGCTTCAAACTGAAACATGGGAAAGCAAAGCAGAGCCCAACCAATGCCGATGGAAGAGCATAATATCTCAATTAATCGGTTTGCCCTATTTTTTACCCATCTCTCCTAGCCCCAGGAGATCTTACGGTGCTTCCAAGTGTCAGGAGAAGCCCTCCTCCCTCCATAGCAGAGCTGGGTGGTGGCAACTGCACAAGACTACTCTTTTTCTAAAGTGGGGCTGATGTCGGGATTAGCACACGTTCATTCCCCTTTGAACAGGGGGACAGGCAGGAGGGCTGATCTTGGCTCTCAGTCTGGGGTAGCTCAGGGCAGAGCCCGAGAAACCGCCCCACAACGGCTGGCTGCTCTGCTCGAAGGGTGATGGACTCAGGCAGCAGGGAACAGAGGAGAGGAGCCCAGCTGCCACCTTGTGTCTGTACCAAACCCAGCGACGTCTCCCCAACGCGCTCTTCCCCATGCAGAAGGGGGGAAACTCAGTGCCCACCTCTGAGGTGGGTCTGCAGCTGCTTCCGATTCAAGCGTTACCACCCAGAGAAGCATTAAGAGATTAGGGATTAGCAAAGAACCGAACGATAATCTCTAATCCAGGTCAGCTCCTCCAGCAAAACTGCTCCGCTCACACCCTCCTACGTGGCAGCAATAGGTGACTCAGCCCCTCGTCCCCGCTCAACCCACAACCGACAGCTTTGCCAGCCTCGTAAGAGATGATCTGCCTTGCCCTGTTCCCTAAAACGCTCATCGGTGTCACCGAGACAAACCCAGCTGCGCTCCCGAGCCATGGCACAGCCCATTGCAAGCCCCCAATAAGCGAACCCTGCAAACCCACGAGCACTGGGCAGCACCGTGCAGAGCCGAACACGGGGCTTTGGGCTTTGTGGGGTGCTCTGCCTTGCCCCCCAGCTCGGGCACCGCCCTGCCCGCACCTCCTGCGAGAACAGGAAAATCAAGGTGACTCTCCCATTGCTCGGGGGAGCACCCAGCTGGCACTTTTGGGTAGCAAACCATGCAAAGGGTGCTAGAAGAGGCCCCTGCATCCCGTGGCTCCTGCACAGCACCAGCCGGCCTCACCGAGGGGCTGCCCTGAGTTGGGGGCTCCACGGACCCCCCCGAGCCTTTGGGGCCATCCCAAGCCCTGCAGCCCCACACCATCTGCAGGGCCACCCCAAGTCCAGGGCCTTGCAGCCCCACAAAGCCCCTAGGATCACCCCAAGCCCAGAGCCCCATGGCCCCCCCCAGCCTAGCAGACTGCTCAGCGCCCAGGACTGCGCAGCCCCACACAGCCTACGGGGCCACCCTGAGCCCTGTGCCGCATACACCCGATGGGGTAACACCAAACTTGGGGGCCCACACAGCCCACGGAGGTACCGCAAACCTGGGGCCTCCCAGCCCCACACAGCCCATGGGATGTCCCAGGGCAGGGGGGGGTTTCAATGGGGTGGGGAGGAGCCCATCCCATCCCTTCCAGGGGTGGCATCCCTGGCAAGGCCAGTGGGGCACAGCCATGGGGAGCAGGGCCACACCAGGACAGGGACTGGGCACAGGGCAAGGGGCCACCAGGCCAGGGCTAGAAGGGGCCTGGATGGGCTGCGGGGCCAGGCTCAGGAGCAGCTCTGGGGATGCCAGCACAGGGGACCGGGGGAATCGGAGATGGTGGGGAGCAGGGGCTCCAGGATGGGGGCTGGGGCATGCTGGGGAGGGAGCGAGCCCAGAGCTGAAGAAGTGTCGGGGCCAGGTGGGGAACAGGGACCCACTGCTGGGTGGCGAGGAGCAGGGGGATCACTGGTGCGGGCCTGGCAGCTCTATGGGCAGTGTGTCGGAAAGGAGGCGGTGGCTCAGCACCAAGGGACTGCACCCACAGACACTCCTGCCCCATCAGGAGGAAGGGGAAGACCCTCTGAGGTGATGGGGGGAAGGCAGAGCAGGCACCGGCTGCCCATTGACTTCATGTTAGGATTTATCTGCCATTACTCTTCCAACTCTCCAGGAACCGGTGACTTGAGGCCGTTTATCCAGCAAGGCCGGGCAGACTCCCTGTCATGTCTGGATTACGTCCATTCACCAAAAATCAGCCAGCGCAGGTGGAAAATGGGCCCCTCACTACAGGGAAGACGTTGCGTTGCTGGAACATGTCCAGAGGAGAGCAATGAAGCTGGGGAGGGGTCTGGAGCCCCAGGCTGCTGGGGAGCGGCTGGGGGAGCTGGGGGGGGTTCAGCCTGGAGCAGAGGAGGCTGAGGGGAGCCCTCATCGCTCCCTACAACTGCCTGCGAGGGGGGGGGGGGCGGGGGGGG